TTAATTTTCAAAGGAGATAATATGACTATGTGATTTATCTCATTTTAAAAAGGCTCATAAGTTTGAAATTAAAATATCGGAAAAAGTTTTATTTTAAATTTATCACTTAGTTGTAATCATCATTAAACAACAACGATTTATACGAACAATGTTGAATTGAAATATTAATTTTTAATTATTAATACATTTATATTACTAAGTTAATGTTAATGTTAATGTTCTATAATTTTTATTTCAATTGTATGTATTACAACTCAATGTATTGATATAAACTTATTGTAGTATTGGTAAGTACCAAAACACATTTAATTTCTTATTATATTTTTTTAATTGTACATTTTTAAATCATTAAAAAAAAAATGTATAATAAACTAAAGCGTATTAACAATAATAATAATATTATATTATATTATATATTGGTCAGATATAAGGATAACCATTGCTCAAGAGTATTTTATTTTTCACTAAAAATTTCAAGACAATTCACCAATAAAATAATATTATCCATAATAGGAATAATACAGTATTACGACTTTAATATTGGTGCAATGAGCATTGGCCATGCACGGACACCAATTTCCGGCCGACCCTGAGATAACTAATGCCCGATTACCTACTTGGATGTAGTGCCCCTTAATTTTTTTCTTAATACATCAACATACAATCTACTTATGAATTTAAAACTGCATTATTTAAATGTAAATAAAAGTAATTGTGTTGTATATGCCTAAAACAAATAATATATATTAATATGATATTCTTGAAGTAAATAAAAATACATTTTTATTTTTTAATATAATCATATAGGTATAGAAATAAAAAAAAGCATTATACAAAAATAGTAAAAAAAACTACTGTACTATATTTTGAAATGTTAATATTAATCCTGTTACACACAGAATTAAAGTGTTATTTACTAATTACTAGATTACAGAAGAGTAAAAGACTACAAAACTATTAAATTAAAATGATGACTTTTATTTGGACAACGTTAGATTTTATTTATATTCAAATTTCTTCATACAAATGATTTTTTAAATTTTAATTTGGAAGCATAAAGGTTAGTCGATCACAGCTAGTATCGTTTGTTATAGGCCATAGCGGTATATGTAGGAAATGTGCATATGAATTCTAATGGTTAATCCGACCAGGATTACAATAAAATAAGTGATCGTAAAAGGATTATATTTTATGCAATATTTGGCACATCCAAAAATAGTAGAATATTATCAAACGAAAATATTAATTGATACTTTTAGTTTTAATTATGCAATGACAAGACTCAACCCACAGTAAATAAACAAAACCTACTACTATACTATGATATACTTTCAGACTTAATTAAACATACTACAAAACTGTACAAACGTATACAAGAATTTATAGTATTGAAATGATATAAAACCTGATGCATCAAAGCATATTTAGATATAATTATGGATCGACATTATGTTTTTTTAAGAATAATAATTTTTAAAAATATTAGCAGATCAGATAATAAAGTGCTAAATTAGTTAGTTAGGTAATATTGTAACTTTTATATTTGTAAATATTTTTAAAGTCTGATGATGTGAAACCTTAATTATTTTCAATTTTAATTATTGGACTTGCTTTAAATAATATTATAACTTATAATTAAACAGATATTGAACTAAACATAGAGATTTTTAAATTATCTGTGTATGATTGGTCATTTGTACGATAGGTACATAATTATATTTTGAATTTTACAGTACAATGACTCAACGCGGAGGCTCATGCTCAAATCACTTTATGATAGTGGTGTGTAAGAGATAAAAAAGAAGAATAAATACACAACATGAACACTTAATCGATCATCTGTTTCAAAAATATATGTGGTTCATTCATGCAAGAGAAACGGAAGAAATGTTGACGTTTGTAAAAAAAAGGTCACACGTAGTTAAATTCAAGCTTAGTGCCATATTGCCATCCCATAATATAGGTACAATACCCGCATAGTGATTAATTTTTCAAAAAGTTATATTTTATTAATTCCACAATTTTAGACAACACAAGTCTTGTGTATGCTAAATATAATATTATTAGAATATCATGTGTGTATAAGTCTAGACGTTAAATGCGTAAAATATACTTCCAGATTATTCCACATAACTAACTAAACTAACTACGTATTTACCTATGCAAACTATGCGAATTAAAGAGTTTTATCAAATAATCAAATTTAATAACTGCAGATAATATATTCACGATATTGAATTATCGATAAAGGAATAGTATTATTTATAATCGATTCCATTGTTTACACACATTTTTTAAACTTTTAAAGTGTTATTACTTACCTACACATATTTAGGTACATCTTAAAAATGATGACAATTTTAGTTATCTGAGAACGCGACGAGTTATGTATTCTATTTCTTAGCATAGATGTATGTAAATTTTAGAATAATTCACGAGTTGAGAATTTATGTCAACACTTTCGTTTCTATTCTGAAAATATTTGTCTGGCCGATTTGCATTCGTTTGTTGGTCTTTTTCTCTTTTTTTAATTCCTAGTTGTATGCACGTATTATATTCAGTGCGTGTTGGGTGGATAAATAATAAGTAAACTATAAAGCCATGCATGGTCAATATTATAATATAGGTACGAATCGACGAACTGTGGTTTATAAATTTCTTTAATTAGGTAGTTAAGTTAGTTCTCACTTAGACGTGCTTTAAAAGACCATACACAATATATATATAGAGATAAATATTAAATTAAACTATTTTTTTTTCCGATTAATCAAATTCGTGTACGCATTTCATAATATTAATGATTTATTAGTTATTTACTATCTCCTCATTATTAAATGATCAGATTTACAATTATATTTGTACATTACCAGCTGTAAATATAAGCAATATTATAGCTACCTAATGATTATAACAGAGTTCATATTGTAATTGAAACTAATTCTAATCGTTTTCAAATCAAAGTCAATATTTAGTAGTCATTGATTGGTATGCAATCACAACAATGATAGTGTAATAAGTTATTATCACATACATTTTCAAAGTCAAGTTGCTACTATAAATATACAGTTTATTTTTGTAATTAAATGTATTCTGTAGAAACTCTCACCGTGGTCATATAGTTTGTAATTCTATGTTCTGATCAAACACACATTACATATATATATATATATATAAGTAGGTACCTACCTACGCAAATTTGCGTTGTAAAGCAATAAATAATTGGTAATCGTGCATGTACTGAGTATTCTTGAACACGCGGACTATAAGCTGCAGTGGGCGCGAGGAACAGGTGCCGACAACGATGACAATAATTCAGTGAGAGCTTTTATTATAATATATATAGACTATATTATACGAATTCTCTATGCACAATTATAATAATTGTCACTTTCGTGTGTGGTGTCTTCTGGAGGGGGTGAGGAGACTCACAATTATAATAATGGCTATAATGAGCGAAAGGGTGATTTACGTTGTTGAGACCAAATCGCATAAACCACCGGATATCAATTTACGACGAGAGTACTCGTATACATGTTATTTGTACATACACTGCAGCATCTTTTTTACAAGGAGATTTTAAAAGTTCATGGGTGATTGTAGTTCCTCCCAAAGACATTATTTTTACCATATAACTCCCAACCGCTTTGTATTTTTCAAACGTTTTCAGACAAATTGTCAATCAAAGACTATGCGCCGTGTAACTCCCTTGTAAAATGATGCTGTGAACATACAAATATGCACTACTTACGGATGCAGTCAAATCTTTTAAATAGTGAATATTACATAAAACCAAACAATCGGTGCAAGATTAATACTTGGTTCCACGACCTACGTCAAAAACGAGATAACGCTATCTACCGCAAATCTCAAACAGATTAAAACATGTATCCGGTCACGAGCTTCTATAAAAACAAATATTCCGAATTTCGGCACATCAGGGTATTGGGTCACTTAGCCCCCTCAAACAAACTTCGTCTCAAATCACCAATAATTAGCCACGTTGAGTGGGCCACAAAAACAAGTTAGAAATCACTAACATCTCCACCACTAGCAGAGGCAACAGCCTGGTATAGTCAAGACCTAAGGGTCAAAAATCAAGCAAAGCAAAGCAAGTGCTACATGAAGTAACTCCAAAAATCACACAAAAGTTTTCACACTGCTACACAAATGAAAATAATATCAAACACGTTAGTGTGGTGTTTTATCGAATGTATAGGTACAATACTGAGATAGTTCAAACGAGTTTTTATAGTTTAGGACTTAGTAGAAAATTAGAAGTATATTCAATGTTTATCATCAGCCATTTGGTAGTTATTTTTTATAGCGTTTAATTTTTTATAGCCCACGGTCAAATTACTAAACATCAGATATTAGCGATTAGTAACTATAATATGTTATATGTACGTATTATATTATGACGTTCCTATATAGAGGTAGGTATTAGTGTATTACACTACACTATTAACTACTCTTTACAAGTATACATAAATATAACACGTTTTAACTTTAAAGTAAATAATGTACCATATGAAACACGCAGTATAATGCTATTTTGTTAAAATAAAGTAAAATAATTAAGAGCTCGAGTAAATAAAAAAATTCAATCAACTATACAATGTATGTCAATGTGAGCTACCTACATAGCTTATGATCTAATGAAATTCCACGGAATTTGAGTTCTAAATATTTTAGATGGAAATTGTAACAATAATTAGGTAAATACAATTTAATCAAGTTTGTATACCTATACATAAAACTACGATCCCTACGCTTTATATATATATCGTCATTCGGCATTCATGCCAGTTCCAATAATTACAAAAAATTCTCAGACGCACAAAATAAGTTTGAACATCTAAAACTTAATTAGGTTAGGCAGTTGATATAAAAATACGTATAATATATTAATAAACATATAAAGAAAATACATAATTATAAAAGATTTTTAGTTAAAAATTTGGAGACTATTGACTTCTGACATTCAATACTGCAACAATTCTTGTTATTTCACTATTTTCAGCAAGTTTGGTAAAACTATATCATGCTATTATCAGTGGCCTAATTGCTCACAAATTGTTTTGTTTATGTCCACAATTGTTTACCTGAAAAATTCAATAATAATATGTCTAATTCTTGTGTCACTTTCATTGTCTGAGGAAAAAAAAGAGTACATATTGATGTGGTTGGCAGTGTATAGCACAGTAGTATTAGTAGCAGCAATAATGTACACAGAACAATAAAGGTACCTAAAAAATTTTTGTCGAAAGTTTGTTGACTGTCGACTGCCACTGACTTCAATAAGATCTCCGATACGATCCCTCCGAATACCAACCATTGCCCTCAAGCCTGGTGTGTATACTATTGTTAGTGGCTCAATAATTTGCAATAATTATCACTCACACATTCCTGTGTTTGCGTCTACAATTGTTTACCGAGCAAATTCAATAAAATTATGTCAAATTTTTGTGTCCTTTTTTTGTTTTCTGATGACGAGCTAGAACATAAGTTTGGTAGACCGCTATAGTAGAAGTATTGGTAGCAGAAGTAAATGTATAAAAAAAAATAGAAACTTAAAACATTAATATGTTGACTGTAGACTGCAGCTGACTTTCAAATTTCAATACGATCCCTTCATGTACCACCAAATCCCTTTTTGGTATGCATACTATTATCAGTATGCAGTAGCGACAAATACACACGAATATTGTTGTGTTTACGTCTATAATTGTTTACCTGTAAAATTCAATAACAATATGTAAAAACTGTCGCGTTTTTCTCGTTGTCTGGTGACGAGAGAGTACAGCAGTTTGGTAGACCGTAGTTGTAGTAATAACTAATAAATAATAATATAGTACCTAGTATCAGCAATATTATATACGTACATGATTCGGGTCGTTGCACCCATCGATGTACGCGTTCCGTGTTACGACCTCTTTCTTTTGTTACAGTTTATATACCAGGATACCAGGATTATCTATACCTATATATACCTGAAACGGATTTCATTTTATTTTATTAATCAAAAGCATTTCAACACATCCATCGCCTGTACAACAATATTAATTTAATAAAACAAAATCGCTATCAGGTAACTGCGAATATATTATTATAATAGTATAATATGGCGTATAAGAAGCGAACGCATTTCTTCCGAAGCATAAGTGTATAGGTTATTATAGCACAAACAATTCAGTGATGAAGAGCTACTATATGAGCGTCACGTATACAACAATTTCGAAATTGACACTAAGTCTCATTCACTTATGTTATTGTTATTATGATAGGTATAGGCGCATATACTTACTAGAAAATAAATTCGATTACCTGTATAATCAGTGAAAAGTAAAATTTAAATGCACTGTAAAGTTTAATAATATTATGTCGGTTTGAATATTGTGGTGCCAAATAATGCGGACAACGGCCACCACTATCGATTATATTGTAATAATATGTTTAAAACAAAAGTTAATTATCTCGACGAATGCCTCGCTTGAGTGGGTATCTACCTACTTTTCTGATATAGTTGTGCATGTAACTTGAGAAATTCACATTTTATGTCGGATACGTTGTAAGTAAACGCAGTTCACTAAAAATCAAAACTCACTCGAAACGAATAAAAAAAAATTAAGACAATCCGAAGACAATCACCGTTTGCTCAATAAATCATAGCATAATAATATTATATACTACGCCGTAATAGCATTATGTAGAACAGCGGCCAACCCGTTATTTGAGGGGTTTTTATTTCCGAAAATCCAACACCATGGCCCATGTGCACCTGCCTGTACGCATGACACATATTTTTATGGATATTGTGTATTATAATATTATATTGTCGTGGTAGTTGTTTAATTAAAATATGTAATCGCATATGTATGTATAAAAAAATGTCTACACCACCGATGAAACAAAAATGTTGATATATTTTGAAATCGTATCGCACCACCCTTTTGTTTGTGTGTATCGTTTGTAGTTTGTGTATTGCAGGCAGCATATACAATGGCTTCACACGATTTGAAATCTTACACGCTTACCCCGTTTACGGTGGGGGGAGGGGGGAGTGTCAGTTTTAAGCGCGAATACGTTTTAAAATGGGTGTAACTGTGCGTATTCTATGTCGGAAGCTCTAATATGATCTATTTAGGTATGATGTGATCTTAGCAATTCATAGGTAAATATAGCTGCAGCAATATACGTAAATTGTATATGCCACCGTATTTTCAGTTCAAAGGCCTACCAGGGCCCGGAGCCTTTGTTGTTTTACGATCGCATTAACGTCTGTGTGTGCATAATAATATGATATATCATAATATTATACATTCCGCCAAATGCCTCTCGCCGTGGAAGCTCAGCTTCGGCGTATAAGCGTCGAATGGTGTCTGTAATGCGAATTTCGACTCGCGAAATTCACAATTAAATAAAGTGCAGTAATAACAGGTACCTATTCAATTGTTGAATGCGCCAACGCAGTTATTGATACACCTACAGAGCAGCATTTTAATATTATAATAATATATATATATGTGTCAGCGTACCTATAATAATATCTGCAGATTTATACAATCGATTAAACGTTTTACCTGCCGATTTTAAAACAATTATTTTTAGCGCTGGGCGCAGCGCCGACGAATGAAATATTATTATACCTTACAAAGTATGAAATAAAAGACACGACGGCTTAGAATATTGCACCATGGTATACAACATAATATAATATTGTATATATTTTTAAACCGTGGAAGAAAAACGTCCATCTCTACTAAAACACGCAGCTGATAATACACGACACACGTCTTGATAGTTTGCAGTGTATTTTATTTCCAAGAGTTTTCTACAGTATTGAAATACATTTGTACATAATACATTTAACGCTGTAAATCAAACGTGCACCTAACCCTACTGCACATTTTATACATATTTCCAATGAAATTACACGTATGGTAGGCACGATGAGGTTGCAATCGATTTTTATTTTACTGTAGAAAAAAACTGACCATCACGATAACATATTATGCAAATTGTATAAACCTAATTAATATTTTAGACATGTATTGTCACGGGGCCAATTCCATATTATTTTAAATAATAACAAAGACGCTTTATGATGGGTTCGATATAAGTACATTTTTAAAAACGTAAACGAGGTGATTCACCGAGCGGTAAGCGTACTCACAACTCAAACACCCCGCCCCCCTCCCCCCAACCATTATCTTTATATAATGCATTTTGTTAAGTTCTTGTTTTTAGAATTTCTAAAAATACTGGAGTATCTGTATATTTTCAAATACTCTTCAAATTTTGAGGAGCGTCTTGCGGTCCTTAAAAAAAAAAATAAGAACCACCACTCTTCTATCTGCTGTAAATTGTAAAGCAAATGATTTTTTTTAAACTTTATTGCGTCCAATTTAAAATTCAAACTACGATTTTCTGAGTTATTAATATTTATATACTAAGACACCAAGGTAATAGTTTTTTATATAAAATGTAAAATATTTAGTCTAGTATACTTGATATACTTGGACATTACTCACAAATTATAACCTTTTAGTAAACTAATATCAATTAATACAATTTTCAAATCAACAACCACCGTTTAACTTAACCACTTTAAACTTATTGTCATAATAGACATCTGTTAGGTATTCTTCATCTAAACGACTACTCGTTTGTATTTCGATTTAGATGTATCAAAATGCATCCACTTAATAATACAACCACTGAACACTCCGATTTAACTGTAAAAAAAAGCAGTGTTTGTTTATGTGGTCACACTCACACGTAGGTAAACTTAAAAATCAAAATTTGCAAAAATGTCAAGGAAAAAATATTTTCTGGTGGATAAAATCACTCTCAGACGAATAAATGATTATGATACAATATATTATAATACCTAACGGACGACTCTATACGATAGCATAACTATGTAATATTATATCATTACACACACACACACACTCACACAAAATATCGTGAACGGCAGCCGGCAATGATGGTGGTAAAATGTGCACAAAAACGAATTATCTACACACACACTCGCGCGTGCGCAAACGCACACCTCTCTCTCTATCCTCTTTCTCTCTCTCACTCCGTCACTCTCTCCCTCTGTTTGTGTGTTAGTGTCTTTCGCACACACACACGCACACACGCACACGGCGAACTCGTGACATCGTAAAACGGATTTGTAGTCTCCGACCTGCTGCTGAGCATAACTATGTTATATTATTGTACCTACTGTTGTAGACCGTAGTTGTATCGATTGGGTGTGTTGTTGTGTAGTGTGTATCTATATTATTATAATATGACCGTCATGGTCGTGTGTTTTTATTTAGTTTATTATTATTATTATTTTTTTTTTTTTTGCTTTGTTTTTTGTCGACCGAATAAAACAGATAAATAGGCCAGTCATTGCCGTAGCCAATAACAATATAATATATTGCAAGCGTTTCTATTTTATCCTTCTGACTTTTATAGGAGATGTACACGTGCGCGTCACACTTAACCGTTGGCTGCAGAATCATATTATTATGAGCTTAGCTAAGGTTCTAATAATAATTCCTATACCATATTATGGCACAATATAATATAATATTTTGTTTTATTATAATATACTCACTGTAGGATCCCTCGTCATAGTCTTGCTAATGACGAATAAAATCTACATAATATTATATAACATTACTTATATTAATGTATTACAATATTCGAATTCAGGTATTATAGTACCTACCACAATAATTCGTGACGAAACTATTCGCGGTCCCATCATCGCACATACTGTCGAGGACGCCACTGCAGGAGTAGTGGTGTTCCTATACTTACTTACAATAATAATATTGTATACTGCTGCATCAAGGTGAACGATGAATATTATACTATAATGTCTTGTAAACTTGAGTCATGCTCTTTTTCCTACAACATAAGAACGGAAAATGTACATACTGCAGGGTACTTATTTTATATAGGTACTACACGAACAAATTATATGAATATTATATTTTAATCATAATATTATCGATAATAATTTATCATTGTTCGAAAAAATAATGAAATCTCGTTAGACATTCTGTTCGCGATAAAACATTATAATAAAACATTACTCCATGTGTATAGCAACTATAAAATATTATAAAAGTCGGAGACGATTAACTACTCTTCGACGTAGGTACCTATATAAAGATCAGTAGGTAAAAGAAATCGAGACGTTTTCGTAATAATATAGCTGATAATTAATGTTCAAAAATTGACGGCACAAGTTTCGCGAACGGCTTCTGTCACAGCTGCTGTGAGCGTAGGTAGGTATTATATATTATACTCGTAATAATTATATCATCACGAATTTGTTTTTGAATACCCCAACACATCCAAACAGAACAAAATATCATGCCGAAAACATGGACAAAACAAAGGTCATGACTGGATGATATATAGCTGTAAAACGTCTGCCTCACTATTTGTAAGTAAAGGTACGCACGTGCGTGTGAGTGTGCATGTGTGTGTGTGTATTATTGATTTAATACACCACACGTCCTTATAAACAACCATCGGTTAGGTATACCTACTTAAATCAACGTCAGAAAAATAACAGCCAAACACGTTTCGCTTTCGTACAAGTTACATCTACCACGATACCTACTCTATAAACTATAGGTACGCCAATCAACCCGTTATTCATTAAATATTATAATATAATAATTATGCATTCTACGCGATTGTATATCATGTACAATTTGTGAAATATTATATTACACGCACGACGCATATTATGACCTAAGATCGTATAACAAAATGTCAAAATATACATTTACAGATATTAATATAATATATAACATTATATGCACGCACATTAAACATCCTTCTATATATTATTATTTATTATATACCATATGTATGATAATTGATAATATAAATATATATAAAGCGCATTTAATGTTAGAACAGCCCACGCTAAATTTAATATCGAGTTTTGTTTTA